CTCTTCTGATATGTAATTTTACAACAACCCTTCATTGAGCCAAATTAGACCTCTGTTGAAAGATAATGTTTAAAACGCCAACTTTGTTTGTTGCATCACAGAGCTTCAAACACTACCAGTGGCCAAGAAACTGTGGCTACGACGATAATACAGTTTATTCTATGAATTGTGTTCATTCGTTACCAGGCGGCAGCTTTTGGTTCTGAAAAGTGAAGCCAACGTGGAAATGTCTCAAACTTGCATTCTTTCTAATGGCCAGCAGGGGGCGACTATTCAGGTTGCAAAAGTAAGTTTGTTTGTATAGAAGTCTATGAGAAAGGGACTCTACTTCTCTCTTGATTTATTATCTCACTAAACATTGTAAACATGAGTTCATGGTCTCAATCTCTAGTTTCAAGTCTTCTTCAATACAGCATGATGTTCATTTAGTACATTATGAGTCAAACAGACCATAAAGCAGAGCATGCTTTAGGGCGGGGCTACCTTGTGATTGACAGGTCGCTACCACGCCGTTTGGGAGTTGTCCCGTGTTTTTGTCTTTTAACCCTTTCACTGTGTTTTCAGCTCATGGAAGTCATTTTGGTCCACCCTGTTGTGTCACTTCTGGTTCCAAAAAACCAAGATGGCGACGGCCAAAATGCTGAAATCTAGGCTTCAAAACTGCCGTTCGCTAACCAATGAGTGACATCGCGGTGACGACGTCCACTTAAATATATTAATAAATTAATCTTGGGACCCTAAGATAATTAAAAGATAAGAAATTGTTTTCATATAACTCTTTTCAAAAGAAACGAGCACTCTTTGGGTGAATGTCCACACAATCGTCATAACAATCGTCATAACGTACGATCAGCGTTCAGAAGCATTACTTAATATTGAGGAGTCACAAGTCAACAAGGAAACAGAAACCACTGTCTTGTAGGCCATTATCCACTAAAGACAACAGATAGGTGTGGTGAAACCTACACGTCGTTGTGATGATATTATTTTTCAATTACTAATAGAACACAATAACAATTGCTTATTAATGTAACAATAATTATACAGCACAAATCGGAACACACCTCAGAGGGCACACGTGCATGCAAATGACTCAACAACCTGTTGAACAGGAGTACCAATAACGACAATCTGTGCGCTGCGGCTGAAGGAGCTACATCGAAATGAACCAGTTTCTAATCCCACTCACTGTGATGAGAAGCTTTACTTTTCTTTAGTGTGTAAAGTCGTCACCCCACACACATATCAGTGTAATGTGTGTTTTAGGCTTTTATACAGCGCCACTCTAGTCCTCTGCCCACTCAAAATGTGCCAAACCTAATAAAGTACCGTCGTATCGTGTGCAAAGATAGACGTGCAGTCATTTCACACAAACACTCCAACAACTTGACACGATAACAGATCAAGCAAAGACTTTTAAAAGGGAACACCTTCAGGACATGCAGTGAAAAAGAAAATAATCCAAAAAGGGCCTGACAGAAAATTGGTCAATCAAATCAGAGGCCCCTTTTTTACACGCACACACACACACACACACACACACACACACTACACTGCTGTCTTAGCCGAAGCCTTTGCAACAGCAGGACCCACACATGACCACCATTAGGAGAATCAATGTGACACTGAGGCCGGGAGAGAGCCTGAAGCTTCTGAATGGGCCTTGAACTGAGTCCTGCCGTCTCTCACACTCACACACACACACACACACACACACACACACACACACACACACACACACACACACACACACACACACACACACACACGTAATCAGAATGACACAGAGAGAAATGTCGGGGATGTTAGTGTTTCCTGCTTACAGGAATACACCAAGTTGTCGGGTGACCGGTCTGTTGGTCACCTTGTGAGCACCGTGACTCCGCTGTCTGTAATGCTGATGGAGCAGAACGCAACACTTTTTATTCTAAGAAAGAGATGAGAATGTTGATATCAGTCTCATATCTGTGTTACGTATGGAGCTGGAGTTGGGACTCGTTTAGCATAGCTTAGCATAAAGGCTCAAAGCAGGGGGAAACGGATAGCATGGCTCTGTCCACAGTTTAAAAAAACCCCTCTAAAGGCGTCTAAATAGTGAGTACCTCATGTGTTTGAGCCGTAAACATCAGCTGAAGGTATTTGTTGGCAAACACTGGTTTTGAAGTCGCCCGTTAGTTATTTAAAAATACTGAGGAATTCTACTCTGACAGCTAAATTTAGAGCTCTTTATTTAACAAAAAGAAAGGAATGATTTGTTTTATAACTGTATCGACTCACTTTCTTTGATTTTAAAAACAATTCTGCAAAATTGTGTTACATCAAATTCATTGATATTCATTACATTTTGAATGTGTCCTCATGAATTATTGAAGTTTGATTTGTCCACCACATGATCATGATGACAAAATGTGCTTCAGTCATAAAACACAGAATTCAGAAAACATGCAATTTGGGAAGAAAATGAATAACGTGGATCTGGAAAATAAAATTCAATAGATTTCTTAGAGTCAGATGTAATATTAGAGGGAATGAACGGTCCCCCATCACCACCACATCTACCTCTCACATGGAAAGGAAAACTACACCACTGTATTTAGAGTATATTTAGGTAAAACACTATTTCAGTCTAACGCGCTGCTATTTCTCATCGACGCCATCTGTCAACATGGAGCAGCACAGATCTGTATTACATGGACTCTTCCTGGGTTTCCATCCTCAGAACTTCAACAGATAAACTGACCAATAGAAATGGACCAATCTTGCAAAGATTTGGTCGTCAACTAAAGTTGGTAAAAGTGCGGGGGAAGCAACAGCAGGGTCATCAGAGCTAAAATATCTATATATCTATAAACAAGTGGGAACAAGAAGAGCTGGATAATATTCTCACCATCCTCCGCTCTGACTCCCGTGCGCTGTGTTTATCTAACGCAGAGGGGAGATGTTTACATTGGCTTGGTTAAACACAGACCGGCCCAATAGCTTTTCTTAATAATAAATAACCCAAACAGCCAGCCAGGACGTCCATGTAGCCGCCACACGTGGACCACCACTGTCCTGGGGAGAAGACGCTCGCCGATCGGGAGACTGAGAGTGAAGCTTGTCAGCAAAGGTTCACGGGGTTGGAAACGAGTCCCGAGGAATGCCGTCCGCCCCACCGCCGCGGTGTGTTTGTGACCTGGTTTATTTGACTAGATTCTCCGATGATTTTGATGCGAGCAGCCCTACAACCCTGTTTTTTTTTTTTACCCTCACATCGTAAACACCAAAACAAGCATCAGAGAGCGCACGGGCTGGTCGGGGTTCCCATGTGGAAGGAATAGAGTTGAGGGGAAGTTCAGAAAAGATAAATAATTAGATCTACTTCATCTGTGGGTGAGCTGTGTGGAGGGAGGAGGGGGTTAAAGGCAGGCAGAGAGATTGATCTGGGACAGTGTGGGAGAGAAAGAGGGAACTGCAAAAATAAAAAGAGTAAGGCCTTGGGAATGAGTGTGTGTGTGTGTGTGTGTGTGTGTGTGTGTGTGTGTGTGTGTGTGTGTGTGTGTGTGTGTGTGTGTGTGTGTGTGTGTGTGTGTGGGAGAGAAACGATGCACTGCTGGACTGCCGGAAAAAAGAAAGCCAGCCAGGAGGACGGCAGATCGATTCCTCCCCCAAGCCTCACAACAAACACTCTCTCTCTCTCTCTCTCTCTCTCTCTCTGCATAGCTCACCTCTGCTGCTGCAGCCTGATATCATCCCATCAGCACTTCATCTCGACCCCCCC